CTTTAACACATCTAGAATAATAACTAACATTCGTACAGAGCTTGACTTCTAGTTTCTAGTGTATAGTTATTCAGACTTACTCTCAAGCTGAAAGTAACTAAAAATGCTAGGAAAAGTATTTGAAAACATCCTAAAAGTTATCATGTAACTGCTGGCAACACCAAGCAACCCCCCCCCCCAAAAGCTACCATGTACTGAAAAAATAGTAAGGAATTACGCCAAAATTGAAGGAGAAAAAATGCTGAAGGATAATGCAGCAAGGAAGCCACTTTTACCCTGTAGATATTTGCTAACCTTAGCATATTCCAACTTGACTATGAATGGTTTTGTGGGGCAAGAGTCCAGAAAATTAACATCCAGGGCCCACACCAAGTGGGATTCCTTCTTCACAATAACTTGGGACCCCCTCAAACTCCACCAGTGGTATGCTGGTAAACATTTAACCAAGAGCTCGGGGTGGGGTTGGAGAAGGAAGGGCCTGACATACAGCACTTGCCAATTTCCATAGTATGAATATTTCTACCATGGCTGATTCCAACTCACAACACAGAGCTGGGAAGTGCAAGCCTGTGACTCCACCCTCAGAATGCAATAAGCAAACCAGTCTTGCACAATCATGCAGCCAGTACTGGTACCACCTGGGTGGTCAGGGATCCACAAGTCCTGTCCTTGGATTAAGATAGTCCTGGACTAGCAGTGACCTCGGGAGCCTGGCAAAAGCAAATGTAAATCATCACTAGAGGAAGGCCTCAAATTATCCCAACATGTAAAATTTAAAGTACAGTGTTCAGGATGGTCAAAGAGAACGAGACATATAACAAGGAAATATGACACCATGAGCAAGAACTAGCAGAAGTATACCCTCAGATGCTTCATATATTTGAATCATCAGACAAATGTTATAAAACAACTGTGCTTTCTTGAAAGAAGCTTAAAAATATCTGCAGGGGATAGGTAACTATAAAAAGTGACATACTAAATTTATAAAGAACATTTGTAGAAAGCTTTATAGTTTAATCAGGGATTAAAAACACAAATACCTGCAGGACTCAGACAAGTAACACAAATGAGTAAAGTGTCTGGGTGAGCACACTGGTGACCTAGGGAGCTTTGTCAGAAGGTTATAGGGCTCCTCAGCTCCAGCTGCTGGTGCCATGTGGCACAGGGGACCCAGTGTGCTTATCTTCTGCTGTTTCTAGAGAAGCTGGATATTTGGATTTCTTTTTATTGTGGTCAAATACATATAACATAAAATTGATCATTGCAACCATTTTTAAAGGATACAATTCAGTGGCATTAAGTACATTCACAATGTCATGCAAACTGTCACCACTATCCCATTCCAGAACATTTCCATCATGCCAAAAGGAAACCCCACGCCCACTAGCAGTCACTTTCCATTCCCTCCTTCCCTCAGTCCCTGGCAACCACCGATCTGTTTTCCATCTCTATGTATTTGCCTAGTCTAGACATCTCATGTAAGTAGAATCATATGGTATCTGTCCTTTTGTGACTGGCTTCTTTCACTTAGCATTTTTTTTTTTTGTCCTTTTTGAGACCGGCCGCACCGTGCTCAGCCAGTGAGCGCACCGGCCATCCCTATATAGGATCCCGAGTGGGGCTTGGCCCCACTTAGCATGTTTTTAAGGTTCATCATGGCGTAGCATGTATCAGTATTTCACTCCCTTTTATGGCTGAATAATATTCCATTGTGTGGGCATACACATTTATCATCAGTCAACTTTTAGATTTTTTTTTTAAAAAGATGACCGGTAAGGGGATCTTAACCCTTGACTTGGTGTTGTCAGCACCACACTCACCCAGTGAGCGAACCGGCCATCCCTATATGGGATCCGAACCCGTGGCCTTGGTGTTATCAGCACCACACTCTCCCGAGTGAGCTACAGGCCGGACCAATTTTTAGATTTTTTACATGATATCTTCCTATTTTAAATTAAAACAAGTATTTTTAAAAGTTCCATGTGGCCCAAAGCAAATTATCTGTTGGCCAGATACAGAGAGCCAACAGTGTGCAACCTCTGTTTTATGATCTGCTGTTACATATTTTCCCATGTAATCCTCCGAATGATTCTGAGGTAATTGATTTTCTCTTCACTTTTCACATTAGAAGCTTGCGTTTCAGAATGGCAAAAAAGACATGCCTAGGAAAAGGGCCATTGTTTCCCACTCCATTTCTTTAGTTGCTTTTTTCCCCAAAATCAAAACCTTAGGGGAAACTGCTTGGTACTAGAATGAGTGAGAGTCATAGACATAGCTTATGGTTGCAACCTTGAACTGCCCTGGGACTGTTTCCCCACCTGTGAAGTGACTGATGTTGGGTTGGTTTATCTCCAGGCACTGGGTTTGCTCACACTGGAATCACTTTTGCTTTTCCCAGCATCCATGTGGGGCACGCATCAGCTCTGGTCACGTTGTTTAGCTGCAGCCAAACACAAAGATGTGGCCCCTGGGTTATCCTGATAATTGGAAAGTCTTTCCGCAGTTCTGTCCTGAGGCCTGACGGGGAGGAAACAACCCTCAAAAGTCCTCCTTTTGGGTCGGACCAATCCATTTGACCTGCTGGGGTCATTCGCGTGGTAACAGCACCTGGTCTGAGCCTGGTGCTTCAATCAAGAGTGGCTTAAAGTCAACTGGTCCTCCAACAAAGCCCAGCGAGGGCTCCCTGACCCTATTTATGACAGGGCAACTTATCTCCGTGGGAAAAGGAAGAGTCCCTGTTACCATTGAGCTCCAGGCACCTTTCCTATGACCTTAGTTTTCCAAAAGGACGGAGCATGAGGGACGCGACGTCCTAGCTCGCAGGCCAGCGGAGCTCGGTGTTTCTCAACTCTTTCCAAGAGCACCTCGCGTCCCGAATAGCCGCCTTCAACTCTGAGAAGTCCAGAGCCCCATAGGAAACTTGCATCATTGCACCCGCTGCCACAAACCCGGGGCAGGGGACGGGCCGCGGAGCTGGCTCCCAGGGAATGCGCCCCTCCACGGCCGGCCGCCCAGCCAGCCCTCCGTCCCCGGGGGACCCCACGGCACCTGCG